GGGGGGGGGGGGGGGGGGCGCACAGTGGAGACAGTGATGGGGTGGGGAACCTGCATATCAGCTCCTGTCCATCCCCCCCCACTGCCTCAGATACAAGGGGGGTGGGGGGAAATGAATAGCCAAGTTGACTACTTGCTTACATCCCTAATGTATAATTGGGAGCATGTTTTCTAATATGCATTACTTTGTATTTATCAACAATGAATTTCATCTGCTATTTTGTTGCCCACTCACCATATTTTTTGTAAGACCTCTTTGTAACTCCCCGCAGTCTGCTTTGAATTTAAATATCGTTAATAATTTTACATCATCTGCAAATTTTGGCACCTCGCTCTTTACCCCTTTCTCCCAATCATTTATGGATAGGTTGAACACCACTGGTCCCACTACAGGATCTTGGAGGGGACACCGCTATTTACCCCTCTCCAGTCTGAAAACTGTCCATTTGTTCCGTACCCTTGGTTTCCTGTCTCACTGATTCATAAAAGGACCTTCCCTCTTACCCTTATTATTGATCCTGAGAGGGAAAACGTAACTGTTTGAAAAATCACCTTATTTGGAATCTCTTAAGTCTCCATACAAAGATTCATTTTTGAAGTCTGCCATGCACATTTGTATTGCATTTTCCTTAAAAATAGGGGAATGATTTTCAGAAAACTGTTTTAAAATCAGTATTGTATGAAAAAGTATCTTTAAAATAGAGAACGAAAGAAAGGGGAGAAGAGGGCAACAGGTCTTTGAGCTTACCCTGTTCTGGTCAATAACATCCACTATTGCCACCAGCTTGCCAGCATGTGGCCCAAAGGAGATATAGGCAACTCGGCCAATCTCAACGTAACGTTTGAACACCTGGAAAAAGATGTACTTAAATTCAGAGCACGTCTACAAGTAGTATGACTAAACCCAGGAATTGCTATCTACAGAAGTCTCAGAGGTAACTGTGTTAGTTTGTAACTTTAAGAACAAGTAGTCCTGTGGCACCTTACAGAGCAACAAAAATATATAAATAGTACGAGCTTTAGTGGGCAAAACCCATTTCTCTGATCTGACGTGGGTTTTGCCCCCAAAAGCACATGATGCTATTGGGGATATTAGATATAACTGAATAGGCATGTAACCACATGAAATCTTAGTGGTTAAACAACTATTCGATAGTCCCCAGAGGTGGAGCTGGCATCCAATGCACTGATATAGAGGTTGGGGGGGAGGGCAGAGGGGAAATGCATGTAGTTGATCGTGTAGTGGTCTACAGTACAAGATGACATCCCTATATACTGTATATTTGTGTGTTTGTCTCTAAGGTGCCACAGGGCTACTCGTATCTACAAATGCATCAATTGCCTGGGACACAGAGCAAACTGCACCCCGCCTTTCCTTCCTAGCAGGGGGCGATATACAGGTTCCCCGCAGGGATGAGCAGCGGGCATGGTTGGCATCGGGCGCGGGAGGGGGTGCCTAGGTGGCAGACACCACGCGAGAAGTTGGGGGGGCTGGGAGGTACCACGCGAGAAGCGAGGGGGGGAGATTAACAATATGGGCGCAGAGCTTATGGCCGGGCAGGGGAGGGGGTGCCTAGGTGGCAGGCACC